AAACAAATGCTTATAAAGAGGTAGTCAGACTTAATTTCAGTAATAGTCTCTGTACTCATTGCCATATCAGCCGTGACGTAGTTTGTTTTCTCCGAGGTTTAGCTCATAGTTTTTTTTAAATATTCATCACTGATTTTAGCTCTGAAAGTGAAAATACTGCACCATATTGAACAAATGAAGAACCTAGGAAACAGGTCTACGTCACGTCTTTTCCAATTACTTTCATCATAACGGAAATTAGCTTCAAATAGATCCCCATTTCTCCACGATTGAAAACGGTTAGAAAGTTTTTGCCAAATAAGTTCGAAAGCCAAATGATATCAAATGACCGTGACTCTTTTGTATGGATAAAAATACTTCCTTAACAGAAACGCTGTGTCAAAAAAAGGCTTTCGGTTAATATTTTGAAGCTAATTAAAGGGCTCTTATCAACCGAGTTAGAGGTCCGTACTTAAACCTATGGACCAATTTTTTTCTGCTCGGATTTACGGACCAAGCTCGAGGCTTAAGCAAAATAACTAACTGCTTGTAAAGTAATGGCATGGAACTGTTTCGTTGCCGTGGAAGATTAGAAAAGTATAGGTAAACGCAGAAATTATTTAGTAATGAAATTATGAAAGCCTATGAAATGATACTTTGACATATCAAGTGATTACTTTTTGAACAAAATCGAAAGAATTGTGATTGGGGAGGGGGGGCCTTAATAGGCTCTATGCATTGTAATCAATCAGTATTGGACATCGATGCACAATGCACCCGAAATCAGGAAGAATAAAACAATTTATTCGACACGGAACGTAAGGGAGCGGTCATCATTGGAAAAAAACTTATGGCAGCTTATTTAAAAATAATAAATGGACATTGGGAAGCTTCAGTTTAAGTTGGTCGATCGTCGTAATTTGACTTACTTCGTAAATGTTTACTGAACATCACTGACGCAGTGAAATCTAGAAACTTCAGAAGTTGTTTCCCTGAAATGCAACGGAAGCTTTTTCACTCTTCCCGCAAGATTCCAGCAACAATTCTCGTAACTGTCTGCTATTTACTTTATCAAGCTTTCAGCTCTGACAATTTTTTGTTGAATCAAACAAGTTCCTTCATTAATATTCTTCAAATTATTGACCGAAAGCTTATTTTTGATACGGCGTTTGCGCCAACAATTTACACAAAAGAATTGAGAGTTCATCTGACAAATACTTTCGAGCCGTTTCAATCATCGTGTATAAATGGAAAACGATTTGCATACATAAGCATTGTGCAAAGAGGAAGTGAAGTTCCGTCATACACGACAATTATCTCTTTACCAAAGAAATCAGTATTTTTCGCGACTAAATATTACAGAAGAGGTTTTTGGTGAAATGTTTGCCTTAAAAAACAAAATCCTTAACTCAAAATCGGCGAAGAAGTGAGTGATATTTTATTAATGAGGTGTAGTAATTTACTTTCAGACCTACACTCAATCATGGATATTAAAGAACAATGCGCCTAAAATCAGAGAAAGCAAAATAGTATGTCCCGCCTGATACATTACCAAGTAGTGTCCATGGCTTAGATTACATTTGACAATCTCTGGAAAAACGAAAGTATTGATTACTGACTAGTCGTTGTCATCTTATCTCTTGAATTTTCACGCAGTAGTATATGGTGGTGGATTCTTCTGGTCGACGCTTGGCCTGTTTCCGTGAAATGCAAATGAGGCATTTATACCTTTATTCCTTGACAGGGCTGGATGACTTTTGTTTTGCTGGCACTTCAAAACATAAAATAAAACTGGAGC